CCTCATCTGGTGAGATCGACAAACAAATCTCTTCTTCATGTACTTTCATTCGAAATGAAGGTCCCCCTAATAATAGCCGAACACAGCCCAAACATGACACCAGATAGACTGGTCTAATGGCAAACGCTTAGTTGGATAAGGAGACTAACCAGTAAGCGGAAAATTAGGAAATCTATAAGAATCAACAAAACAACCGACACCCTGAATAGAAAGAACGAGTGTAGGAGATTAAGTGGAAATGACCTGTGGCTCCTGGATAGGATTACAGAGAGGAGGGACAAGAAGTAACGCCGAACAAGAGGAGGCCTGATCAGCCTCAAATCTGTTTTTTACTCTCAAGCCTCATGCATCTAAAAAACATTGCATTCACATTAAATACGTGGAATTGAATGTAGTCACATGTGGCACCGTTGCAAGATAAAACAAAAAGCTTAGTGTTTTAGGGGTTGATGCAGCTGTTCGGTAACAATACATCCGCTTTACGCTTCAATTGCAACCATTTTACTTTTTAGCAGCATGTTGGAAGATCATAGTTATCTTACCAAATCGTAAGATATATGAGTCTCTAAACCCACTAATTCACTAATCATGAGATGTCTCTCTGAATGGACCTAGCCAAACTAGAAAAGGTAGGTAAGATTGCAGCCGGTCGCGTTTCTAGTCTCTGCGTTCGGTCAATTATCGTAAAACATAATGTCCTGCTCTGACCATTTTCACCAGATGACGGACGAAAGCTCAGCAATAATTCATCCGGGTTGCACGTTGTTTTGCCGAGGGCCTATTCCCACAAATCTACAATCAAAGCTCCAAAACAAGTCGCCTACAGGTTCAGATGAGGTCAACTCACGAATTTCTTCTACTCGCCTCTTCAAATGAAATGAAAGGTACTCCAACATAAAACCTTATTCACTTATAATACCTGAATGAAGAGGTGACTAATTCCCTGTTTCGTCCTAGATAATGGTTTGCGTCTGGCGGACGTAAATCACCAGGTCAGTAGTTAAAAAGGCTAAGAAAGTTTAAGTTGAGGACAATTATCTGTTAGGATTAATTATCAATAATTTTTAAATACCATAAAATAGGATGAATATAAACTATTTGGGACAAAAATAGAAATTAGATAGCATCCAGGTTCCTGATACTTACGCCATGCCAGCTTTCGAGAAAGACAGGCAAAGTATCGAGGAAATGGAACATTAGGACAATCCATAAATTATGGCACACTGCTCGACCATGCCTTGTTTTAGAGAATTCTTAGACCCTCTGCAGTTTCTTATAAGGTTTTGGGCTCATAAAATACCTATGTGGGGAGACTTGACGATTCATACTTAAGAGGTGATCACCTACATGGATTAATGGGTTTTGAGATGGAGGATGGTTGAATATGTAACCACTAAAGGAAATCAGATAGAGTTATCCAAAATTTAACAGTTTTCCCGGATACGAAAAATTCACAAGTAAGCGTAAGATTAGAGTAGATTAAATAGACAAATTAAAGAATATCCTGAATAGGAGGAAAGAATAAAAAACGAAGCAAGAACAATTTCTGGCTACTGGATAGAATCAGAAAAAGAGAGAAAATAAGAGCAGAAAGAGCTACGGAGTCTGATTTGGGCTTGGAATTGCCAATTAATTCAAGAGTATTGCATACACACAACCTACACATTTAAAAATCTAAAGCGAGCCTCATACGCTAGTTTATTTACGAAAGTAAAACTGTAACCACACCCGCTTCACTTGTCTATATATATGTATAAAATGCACAGAGTAGCCAACCAAATCATGAGATACGTCAATAAGGTCACACGGTTAGGTAAAAGAATTAAGTAGGATTTCAGCCGTCCACCTTTCTTGGTTTAGTGCTTTTGGTAATTGTTCGTAAATTATGGATTCTGGCTATGACATGACGTACGAAAGTTCATACGGATTCATTGAAGTTGCAAAACGGTAAGCTGAGGTCTTTTTCACACAATCCAATAGCCACAAATCCAAGGTGATTCTCATTAGTATCCGGTGCAGCTAATCTACGAATCCCTCCCACCCGCCTTTTTAAACGACAATAAAGGTATTCCAGCATCAGTATATTAAGGGATTCTTCGAAATCCAGCTTGTCTTCATACCTTAAATATATTGTTATCGCAGCGACTGGAGATGTAAAAATGTACACTAGTGATAACGGTAAATAAATAATGGGTATCCCAAAGATTTGCATTAGGTGTCATAATTTAAGTGAACAATTTAGTAGTCGTGTAAATCTTTGTTAATTCAAAAATTTATAGGAACATAAGGTTTTATCAGATGTATAAAATTTCGCGCAAAAAGGGATATATATATGCATGAATATCAAAGCAAACTAATAAATAAATAAAATAAATATATACTTGCTTGCCTTTACCGGGGTGCTAAGCTTTGGTTGATAGGCCTTTCGTGGATCCACATCAGATACGAAGCCGTAACGCTCAAAGAAAGCTAGCCGATCTTCAGTCGATAGCTTGGCTACTTCGAATCTAGATTGCGGGTCGGCATTAGAGACCGATACGGCCTGGGAACAAAGTGGTGTATGGGTTTTTTTGCGCCTGGAAACCCCATGTGAACCTACAGGAGATGCTGAAGTACAGCTCTGGGAAGAATTTTCTACGGCTGATTCCGGCAGGCGACATTCACAGCTGACAGAGCCAGGACCAAGGTGGACAAGACGTCCTGGACATAGGACGCGTAGGTGGGAGTCGAGTGGCTCTCGAGCTAATTTACTGACTCTTTCTGACATTTGCAGAGCGGTAATGTGTTAAGTATCAAGACTAGTAATAAAAATATTTACAATAGTAAAAGTCAATAACACTTTATAATTAATATATAAAAATGGACACAAGTCGAGAAAAACAAGACCTGATAGACTACGATTAAACATGATACATAAATGAATTTGTCAAGCAAGTGACCTAGTTGGGCCAAGCACAAATAAAAATAGGAAGACTTAGAGGAACGCACCTAGTCCGGAGTCCATTGTATGCATCATCATTTCCAGAGTAGGACC